TGTTTGTGAGGGTATTGCCAAAGGAGATTAACATTTGAGTCTGTGGATTGGGAGAGGCAGACCCACCTCAATCTGGGTGGGCACGACCTACTCAGCTACCAGAGTGGCCAGAATAAAGCAGACTGGCTGAGTCTTCTGGCCTTCATCTTTCTCCCGTGCTGGATGCTTCCTGCCCTCTAACACCAGCCTCTAAGTTCTTCAGCTTTCAGACTCTTGAATGCACACCAGGGCCTGGGGTGCCAGGGCCTTTCAGGCCTTCACCCACAGATGGAAGGCTGCACTGCCGGCTTCAGATTTGGGGAATCAGACTGATCCACCGCTGGCTTCCTTGCTCCTCACCTTGCAGACAGCCTATCATGGAACTTTACCCTGTGATCGTGTGAGTTAATTCTCCTTAATAAACTCCCTTTCATATACACATTTATCCTGTTAGTTCCGTCTCTCTGGAGAACCCTGGCCCTGACTAATGCACCTGGCAAACTGCCATTTACTGAGATAGGAAAGATTGAAGGCACTGCTTTGGTCAAGAAATCTGGATGTTTGGTTTTTACTTTGTTAGTATTAAGAAACCTAATAGGCATTCCTCCAAGTGGAAGTATCAAGTAAGTAATTATACATAGAAGCCCAGGCAAGCTAGGAATTTAGGAATCATCAGCTTTAGATCATATTGAAAGCCTTAAGACTGGATGAAATGAATGGAAGAGTAAGTGACTGCAGATGAATAATGAGCTCTGGAGTCAGACTGGAGGAGGAAGCAGCACTCCTGAGCTGGGGCTTGTGCAGTCATGCAGAGAGAGAGAGAGAGAGAGAGAGAGAGAGAGAGAGAGAGAGCGCCAGAGGTTTGCAGAGGGGTCCCTTCAAGTCTTCTACTGAGCAGTGCAGGTAAGTCAAGAAATACCTGCATCTCTCCTACTGTGGTAGGCGCTCCTACCCCGTGCCAGATAAAGAATCACCTGCGAATATTAGAGAAGACAATCCCCAGCACTCATGCACGGCCCAGAGAAACTCCTAATTCTGCCAATCATGGTGAAAACCTTCATAACTCAAGGGTTTATTGAGTAGAATGCTACAAAGGGACCATCCCACAAAAAAAGTGTAAAAGCAAGACCTGAAGCATCAAGCTCTTTCCAAGGAACTTATCTGCACCCCAGAACAAAGCTTCAAAAATATTTATAAAAATAAACATTTTATGTATCTCAAAGTAAACTTCTCAATGTCTGGCATTCAATACAAAATTATCTGCCTTGTAAAGTAGGAAAATATTACTTACAATGAGGAGAAAAGCCAGTCAACATAAACAATCTCAGAAATTACTTAGATGATCAAGTTAGTAGAGATGACATGAAAACCATGAGTAGAGCATGTTCCATATGCTCAAGAAGCTGGAGGAGGGCCTGAGAGCATGAGTAATAAACACAGAGATGCAGGTGCAGACACCGAATGGAACCACTGCAGATGAAACGGTGGTGCCTGAGAGGAAAAATATGCCGGATGGAATTGACAGTGGATTAGAAACTACAGGGAAGATGAGTGAATTTAAAGACATAGCAATGGAAATTACACAAAAATGAAAAACAGAAAAAGACTAACAAAAAATGAACAAAGCCTGAGTTAGCTGTGAGACAAAATCAAGTAACCTAATATTTGTGTAGCAGAATTGCCAAAGGAAAGGAGAAGTAGGGGGCAGAAAATATATTCGAAGAAATGATGGGTGAAAAAACTCCAAATGTGATAGCAACTATAAAATCAAAGACCAGAGAAGTTCGGTGAAACTCCAGGACAAGAATGTCAAAGAAAATCCACAACTAGGCACATCATAATCAAACTGCTTCAGACCAGTGATACAGATGAAACCGTAAAACCAAACAGACATAAGAGGCACGTTGCATAAAAGACATAAAGATAAGAATGGCAGTTGACTACTTATCAGAAACAAAATAAGCCAGAAAACAGTGAAACAATATCTTCACATTAGAAAAAAAAAATTGAAAAACCTAAAAACTGAAATTGAGCAAAAATAGCTTCAAACAGAGAAGTAAAATAAAGACTTTTTTGGATATATAAAAGCTGAATTAGTCACCAGCAGATCTGCGCTTCCAGATCTGTTAAGGAAAGCCCTTCATTTGAAAGGGAAATGACATCAAGGAAATTTCATCTACACAAGAAAATAAGGAGTCCTAGATATGGTAACTACATGAGTAAATAGAAAATACTTTTTTTCTTGTTGTTTATTAAAAATAATTGGCTGAAAATGCAGTACATGCATACAAAGTATTAAATATTATTCAGTCTTAAACAGAATGGAAAATCGGACACATTCTACAATGTTACAGATGAAACTTGAAGGCATTATACTAAGTGAAATACGACAGCCAGGAAAAGACAAATATTGTATAACCCCATTTATATGAGGTATTTTGTCTACAGAAATCAATTCATAGAGACAGGAAGTAGAATGGCAGTTGCCAGGAACTGTGGGGAGAAGTGAATGGGGAGTTGTTGAGCAGGTATAGAGTTTCAGTTTTGCAAGATGAAGAGTTCTGGAGATGGATGGTGGTGATGGCTGCACAACAATGAAAATGTACCTAATGCCACTGAACTGTACGTTTAAAGATGGTTGAGATGGCACATTTTATGTGTATTTTACCACAGTTAAAAGGAAAAGAGAGAAGTAGCAGCTTAAGTAAAAACAGTAACAACGTATGTGTGTGTACAACATATGTATAAGTACAACATCCTCCGCACAGATGCTACGGGAGGATGGAGGTAAACGGTTGTGAGTTTCTTATACTTTGTGTAAAGTAGTTTCTTATAAAGTTTCTTATACTCTATATAAATTTGGCTCCTTCTCAAGGTAACACCCAGGGATTGCTGAGTTCCCTAGTGCTCAGACACAAGTCCACTCATGTTTTTCAATTCTATTATCTCTTGGAGGTGGACTGTGATAAGTTAAAGACCTATACTATAAACCCCCAAACCACCACAAAAGTAACCTCACAAGAAGTTATTCTAACTAAGTAACAATAGCAGTCCCCCTGGAGCAGCAAGCACAAGTGTACACATATGTCAAAAATTATCAAAATGTACACTTTCAATATGTGAGGCCAGGGTGGTGGCTCATACCTGTAATCCCAGCACTTCTGGAGGCCGAGACAGGTGGATCACCTGAGGTCAAGAGTTTGAGACCAGAGTGGCCAACATGGCGAAACCCCATCTCTACTAAAAATACAAAAATTAGCTGGGTATGGTGGTGTGTGACTGTAATCCCAGCTACTCGGAAGGCTGAAGCAGGAGAATTGCTTGAACCTGGGAGGCAGGGGTTGTAGTGAGCTGAGATCATGCCACTGTACTCCAGCCTGAGCAACAGAGCAAGACTCCATCTCAATCAATCAATCAATCAATCAATGCAGTTATGCCTATTATACTTCAATAAAGTTGTTTCAAATAAAAGCACAACGAGCTCCCTGGACAGATGAAAATTCCAGTGGTAGTCATAATGCCTTTCCACATACTTTTTCTTCTTTCTTTCAGGTGCATAATAATATTGCATTTCCTGTCCTCTTTGAAATTAGGTGTTGCCTTATGACTTGCTTTGGCCTATGAAATGTAAATACAAGTTTTCCTAGCAATTAATTCCTGGTAAGTGCTTCTCTAGCTAATACACAATCGGTCCTAACGCATAGCCACTCCTACCTGAGTGATGGTGGAGATGGGGTTAGATAAAACACATTTGGTCAGCCTGGGTCTATGAGGGCCCATGATGAGCGGGTCTCTGCTAGTGGGAGTGGACAGGTAGTCTGAGTGAGGAACATTGCTGTGTAAATCACAAATGGGTTGAGAGATCTTCATTACTGTTGTTAATCTAGCCTATTCTGACTGAATATTCCCTAGCAACAGAGGTATCTGATTACAGACATCGATTTCTTTGACAGTGGAAAGTAAACTGGCCCAGTCTGAGGTCTCTACTTTCTTGAAGATGTGAGTTCTATGTCATAGTCTCCACCAGCCTGGGTGTGGGATTGAGCTTCCATTTTCAAGTCCCCACTTGTATGTCCAGAATTTGGTTCCTTCTCAAGGTAACACCCAGGGATTGCTGAGTTCCCTAGTGCTCAGACACAAGTCCACTCACGTTTTTCAATTCTAGTTACCAAAGAAAGTCACCATTCCACTGAGGTTGTGCCCATGCCCTCCACCAAGCCTAGCTCCAAGAATCCCATGCATCAAGCCCCAGGTGCCTCACATTGGGCATTAGATGTAGGGTTCTGCCAGATCCTTCAGCATTGCCAGGGAGCAGGAAGGAAAGTATCAGATACTTGAAGGATCCACCAACCTGGAAAAAAGTGGGATGTCCTTTCAGGTCAAAAAAATCCTTCTCCATAATTATATTTCCCTTAGACAAATCTCCAACATGCCTAGGCTTTTGTATATCTGTTTTCACTCTGTCACAAACCTCTCCCAAAGAGAAAGGAGATGATATCTGGAGAAAACCATAAATTAATTTTGCAATAATTTTTTCTTCCATACAATCAGTAGTGCCTCAAAATCAAAGCAGTCTCTAAGAATAGTTTGAAGAAATTTATTTTCTTTCAAAGATCCAAAGTTACTGAGATGCAAAGAATCTTCCACAGTATCATTCAAGGACACTGAATGGCTCCTTCAAACCTCACCCTTGCGTATTTCTTCTTCCAGTTGTGATACTGCTGTTACATGTGCAAACTAAATGATCTCTTTGGTTTTTGGTTTTTCAAAAATAAATAGTCTTTCCCAAAAGCTTACCTAAGTCTTCATTTTCCCCAAAGTAGAAAACTACCCACAGCTGATTTTGTAAAGAGACGAAGACTGAGTGGTTGTGTCCGCATTGCCGACCTGGAGTAGCAGTCGGTTTCTGCACGTAGAACCCGGGAGTAGGAGACTCAGAATCGAATCTCTTCTCCCTCCTCCCTCCTGGTTACAAAACACTTGAAATACATAAGTTAGTAGAACTTTGCTTGAGTGAGACTTTTTTTGATCTTCAGCTACATTTTCGGCTTTGTGAGAAACCTTGTCATCAAACACAATGGCCAGCAACGTTACCAACAAGACGGATCCTCGCTCCATAAACTCCCGTGTATTCATTGGGAATCTCAACACTCTTGTGGTCAAGAAATCTGATGTGGAGGCAATCTTTTCGAAGTATGGCAAAATTGTGGCCTGCTCTGTTCATAAGGGTTTTGCCTTCGTTCAATATGTTAATGAGAGAAATGCCCGCGCTGCTGTAGCAGGAGAGGATGGCAGAATGATTGCTGGCCAGGTTTTAGATACTAACCTGGCTGCAGAGCCAAAAGTGAACCGAGGAAAAGCTGGTGTGAAACGATCTGCAGCGGAGATGTACGGTTCCTCTTTTGACTTGGACTTTGATTTTCAATGGGATTATTACGATAGGACGTACAGTTACCCAGCACGTGTACCTCCTCCTCCTCCTGTTACTCAGGCTGTAGCGCCCTCGAAACATGAGCGTGTATCAGGAAACACCTCATGAAGGGGCAAAAGTGGCTTCCATTCTAAGAGTGGACAGCGGGGATCTTCCAAGTCTGGAAAGTTGAAAGGAGATGACCTTCAGGCCATTAAGAAGGAGCTGACCCGGATAAAATAAAAAGTGGATTCTCTCCTGGAAAACCTGGAAAAAATTGAAAAGGAACAGAGCAAGCAAGCAGTAGAGATGAAGAATGGTAAGTCAGAAGAGGAGCAGAGCAGCAGCTCCATGAAGAAAGATGAGACTAGTGTGAAGATGGAGTCTGAGGGGATGCAGATGACTCTGCTGAAGGAGGGGGACCTACTGGATGATGATGATAATGAAGATCGGGGGGATGACCAGCTGGAGTTGATCAAGGATGATGAAAAAGAGGCTGAGGAAGGAGAGGATGACAGAGACAGCACCAATGGCGAGGATGACTCTTAAGCACATAGTGGAGTTTAGAAATCTTATCCCATTATTTCTTTACCTAGGCGCTTGTCTAAGATCAAATTTTTCACCAGATCCTCTCCCCTAGTGTCTTCAGCACATGCTCACCGCTCTCCCCATCCTTGTCCTTCCCATGTTCATTAATTCCTATTTCCCTGTGCCTAGTCCCATTTTAACTTCCTTTGACGCTCCTAGTAGTTTTTGTTAAGTCTTACCCTGTAATTTTTGCTTTTAATTTTGATACCTCTTTATGACTTAACAATAAAAAGGATGTATGGTTGTTTTTTGTTTTTTGTGTTTTTTTTTGAGACGAAGTTTCGCTCTTGTTACCCAGGCTGGAGTGCAATGGTGCTGTCTCGGCTCACCGCAACCTCCGCCTCCTGGGTTCAGGCAATTCTCCTGCCTCAGCCTCCTGAGTAGCTGGGATTACAGGCATGCGCCACCATCCCCAGCTAATTTTTTTTTTTTTTTTTTTTTTTTTTTTTTTTGTATTTTTAGTAGAGGCAGGGTTTCACCATGTTGACCAGGATAGTCTCGATCTCTTGACCTCGTGATCCATCCGCCTTGGCCTCCCAAAGTGCTGGGATTACAGGCGTGAGCCACCGCGCCCGGCCACATGTATGGTTTTTATCAACTGTCTCCAAAATAATCTCTTGTTATGAAGGGAGTACAGTTCTTTCCATTCATACATATGTTCAGTATTTGCTTCCCTAACTGCAAAGGCAATCTCATTTAGTTGAGTAGCTCCTGAAAGCAGCTTTGAGTTAGAAGTATGTGTGTTACACTCCAACATTAGTGTGCTGTGTGGGGCAGTTCAACACAAATGTAACAATGTATTTTTGTGAATGAGAGTTGGCATGCCAAATGCATCCTCTAGAAAAATAGTGTTATAGTCTTAAGATTTGTTTTCTAAAGTTGATATTGTGGGTTATTTTTGTGAACAGCCTGATGTTTGGGACCTTTTTTCTTCAAAATAAACAAGTCCTTATTAAACCAGGAAAAAAAAAAAAAAAGAAAAGAAAAGGAAAGAAAACTACCCACAGCTTGGAAAGAGCAGCATAATTTGTATTTCTACCACCTTGTCCAGGTTTCGGGGATCTCCAGTCCAGTTTCAGTCAATGATGCTAACTATCACTGCAGCTCAGTGATTTCTTTCTTGTCCATAGCAGTTTTTGGCAGAAAAAAAAAAAACAACAACAAATCTAACAAATGGGAATGACTTCAGGTAATGCTATTTTCTTCCCACTTCCTGGGATCACTGTCTTTCCTCTGAAATGGTTTTAATCAGAACCAATCTATTGTACTCAGAAGCCTAAATCAAACCCGACATGCAGAGAGCCAAGCGAGAAAGCAACAAAAGATCTGAGCCATTGAACAGGGAATATATATTAAACAATTTTAGGAAATTACAGCTCTCACAACCTTTCAGCATGAGGCCTTCTCTGTAATTTAGAAAAAAAAGTGCATTTATTTGTTATTAGGATAGGAGAGAAGAGAAAAATACCCACCCAAATAGCCACTAGGGAAGAGGGAAGCTCTGATGACAATTTATGTGGAGGATGGAGCCAAATTGACTCAGAAAAAAAAAAAAAATAAAAGTATGTACTGGCATTTTCCACACAATCCAGGTCACTTGGGAACTTAGCCAAGGATATTTTGAGCATTAGACTACCTATTGTGAACAAGGTCGGGAACGATGAGGCGCTACGTGGCCCTGATCAAGCTCAGATGAGCCAAATTAACAAGCAAAATTCTGTTTCCCATAAATGTTTAACTCCACATTTCCCACAGAAGGGGGTTCAAACTCAGTTTTACTTCTGAAACCAAACTATCCAAAGCCAAGAGAGATGACTCATGCCTGTAATCCCAGCAATTTGGGAGGCCAAGGAGAGAGGATGCTTGAACTCAGCAGTTCAAGACCAACCTGGGTAACGTAGCGAGATCCAGTCTCTACAAAAAATTTAAAAATTAGCACAGTGTGGTGGTGTGTTCCCCTAACCCTAGCTACTCAGGAGGCTGAGGCAGAATCGGCTGGGCTGGGCTGACAGAGCCAGACCCTGTTAAAAAATAAAAATAAAAAATACTAAATTTGGAAACATCCCCAACTGAGGGCCAAGAGATACGTCTCACCCGTAACCCAGAATCCTGTAAAACGGGATGTGGAGAGGTTACTGTCTGTAGACTTGTGATGACCCCTCAGGACCTGGGCATCTTGCGCTTCTGTCGATCTGCCCGCATCCGCTCAGCTCCACCCAAGAGGGCCGGGCAGCTGGGAGTGAAAGCTTAGCTTCCCAACAGGTGAATGGTGAATGAACCTGCCTCCCACTCACAGGGCGGCCTCTGGCCGGACACCTGAGGCCTGCTGCCTCCTCGTTACACATTAACCAAGTTCTGGCCTCGATAGTAACAGCGTCAGGGAAGTTTCTTCCTGGCTGACAGCCACAGATGATGAAGGTGGACAACGTCTTAACTGAAACGGGCCAATGTGGCAAATGGACTGCTTTCCTCTCCAGTGCTGGCACCTTCCTCCTCTGTCCGGCAGCTGGACCCCACTGTCCTCAGCCCTCTGGTCACCCCAAACCTGCCCGCCGCCCGCCTCTCCCGCTCAACCCCCAGATCCCCCAGCCGCAGCTCTGCCAGCCCGGGCGCACACCGCCAGGGGGCCCAGCCCTTGCACGTGCTTGCGCCGCGCGCCGAGGTCCCCGTGCGCCCCGCCCCGGCTCCCCCGTGCGCAGGCGCAAACGGAGGCCCGGGCTGCCGGGGAGGGGGCGGGCCTCGCGGAGCCCATCTCCTCCTCCTCCTCCTCCTCCTCCCGGTCGCGGCCGGACCGAGGGCGGAGGGCCCTGCGCCTGCGCGGAAGCCGGAGTCCGGCTGGGCTGCCGCCGCTGGGAGGCCGGCGGTTGCCGTGGGGACCGGTCGGGCCCCTCCCTCCTCCGGTCCCCCTCCCCAGATCCTTCCCCAACGCGACGCGCCGGCGGACCGCGGGTGAGAGCAGCCGGTGACCCTGCGAGAGGCGGCGCCGCTCCCAAGATGTCGCAGACGGCCATGTCCGAAACCTACGGTACGAGGCCCGGGCTGGCCGGGCGCGCGGGTCGTGCCTCGGGGGGCGTCGGCGGCGCTGGGCCGGGCCTGGGCTGTGGGGGTCTTGAGGGTGACTGTGGCACCGGCCGGAGCCGGGGGACGGATCTCCAGGTGTCGGCGCTTGGGACGGGGATGGGGGCGCGGGCCGCGGGGGGCTCGGGGTGGGGTAGCGGGTGCGCGGGGCGCGGGCGGGGCTGTGCACAGCGCATTGGCGTGATTCGCCTTTTCAAGTTTCCTCCTGCTCTTTCTCCGCTCTTGCACTCAGCGTTTTCCCTTCAGTCTAATGTAAATAACTGAAGGTTTGGAAAGCCAGCTTGATGTTCCGTTTCAGCTGCGATATTATCTCCAGCGAGCGGTGTGAAGGGCTTGGGGCGACGCCTGTGCTCCTCAAATACTCCAGTTTGACCTTTCCTGGATTGGAATTCCTTGCTTTACATTGGGATTACAGTGAGGAGTTATTGATAGACTAATTCAGCTCTTCCTCCGGAGACCTCTTGCTCCGTTTATTTCTTCCTCTCTCTCAGTGGTTTTTAGGCTTTTCTGGGTTGCATTTTGGCTATTTATAAACATGTCTTGTCTCTTGTATCCTTAAGACCGTAAGCGCCTTGGAAGCAAAGCCCTGGCTGTTTAATCTTTGTTCCCTTGCAGCACCCAGACCTGGAGGTGCTTGACAAATATTGTTTTGAATAATCGAAAGCTTTCCCAATGCGTATACTGTGTTTCCTTTCTCTCTCTCTCTCTCTCTCTCTCTCTCTCTCTCTCTCTCTCTCTCTTTTTATCTTTTTTTCTTTGGCCTTGCGTGGCAAGAATAAACAACTTGTACTTTGTATCAGGGTTGAATATTAATAGACACTTACCGGTCCCTAATCACTCTTTCAGATGTTAGTTTTCTCAGATTAAGACTTTGATTTGGAGTTTTACAATCCCAGAAAGAGGCTCAAGTTCAAAATTACATACCTCAAGCCAAATTAGTCCTGTCTCCATCTGTCCTGGCGTGCTGCTTTCCTTCCCTGCAACAAATACTGTGGAATGACATTAGGGAAGCAGGCACCACGCTGGGAGGGCTGTAAGTACTGCAGAAACACTGCAGACACAGCTCTGCTCTCATGGAGCGTACAGTCTGTTGAGGGAATGCAGTATTAATCCAATTGTGATACTAATGAGTGAATAATTTAAAGCCGGGCAAGAGTTCTGAAGAAATGTGGTCTGCGAAAGTGTGTTAGAAACAAAGTTGACCCAGACAGGGGTGTCAGGGAGGCATTAACCAGGCCGCACACACAACATCTCAGGCCTGTGGGAAGGGCAATTCAAGAAGGGTGTGTTTTGAGCACCACGCTGGGAAGATGGATGAGGAGGCAGAGAGAAGAGGGCCTTGAGGAAGGCGTCAGTCTGTCTCCTAAGAAAAAGAATGAGAACTTTTGGAAGGGTTTCCATGCTGGGGTCACAGTGCATTTGGTCTACCTTAAGTGAGTGATTCATGTGACTGGTACTGCCCTGCTCTTGGTGACACAGAGGCATGACATCTGTTCCTAGAAGGCTTAGGATATCCTCTAGTAAGTCGATGCCTTCATCAGGACAAGTGTTTGCAAATGCTTCTGCAAATGATAGTGGTCTGGTCTTCGTGTAGAGAACCACAGTCAGAAATGTAAGGAAAACATACTCTTTAGCAATTTGTGGTTACAACTTTGCACTTCTTTCAAGTGCTCTTTAGCCCACACTTAGCCTGAGTAAGGAGCAGGGAACACTAGGGAAGGGTGGAATGTCCAAATGAGAAAAGCAAATGGGGGTCATGAGTCAGTAAGAAAGAACTGGAAGAGTTCAGGAGATAGAGCTTTTAATGTTTCATTTTTTGTAGACACAGTGATAACAGCTGATAAAATACAGCAGTATCTTTGGCATCTCCACTTCAGACACGGTTAACTGAACTTCTGCGCATCACAGATTGACTGATTAAATTCTCATCATAAGGCTTTGACCATTAGTATTCTTATTTCATGGTAACTTTCAAATATATTTTTACTTTCCAACTCTGAATTGAATATTTTCTTCTAATAGAGGAAATTAATAAAAAAAACCAGTAGAAACTAATAAATAGAAAATGAGGCCGGACATGATAGCTCACGCCTGTAATTCCAGCACTTTGGGAGGCCGAGGTGGGCAGATCAGTTAAGCTCAGGAGTTTGATACCAGCCTGGCCAGCAT